AGGGCTACTTCATCTACATCCATTATATACTTCTTCTCCCATGTCTTCAGATTCACACACTGTTGTTCCCTACGGCCTCTTTACATCTCCGGTTTGTTACTCAAGTTAAAGCTCCTATAAGTAGTTTTTCATGTTTATGAAACAGATTGAATTTCAATATCAAATGTTCTTTTATACAGACACAGGTTTATTTACCTTGCTGACATGATTCGACAGCTATCACAGACCACTACAAACGAGAGAACCACATCATGGATTGGGAAAATACCAGAGTCATCCGCACCGAAGAAAATAAACATCAGCGCTGGATCAGGGAGGCAGTGGAAATCCGGAAGCGAGGCCCGAGGACCATCAACCAGGATGAGGGAGCATATAGGCTATTCCACATCTGGAGTGCCATATTGCACGGGGCGAGCGGGCAGCTGAAGGCGTGAGCGATCTGTCAAACTGACGGAAAGGTCACGCCTTTGGAAACATCAGCTGTTTTAGGACGCGTCACACAACCGTCACGTTACACTCTGAGGAAGTATGCTACCAGCACGTCGAAACATGTCAGCAAGGTAAATAAACCTGTGTCTGTATAAAAGAGCATCTGCAACCTAATCCAAGAAAGATTGAATTTCACATTTATGAGATACAAAAGCAAAGAAGACCATCAGGTCCGAGATTCTGATTAAGGATGGAGGTCATAAAGAGAAAAGCTCTGATAACCTCCATCCAGGATAAAGAGGATGGAGGTCAGAATCTCCTAGTTAAGATGGATCTTACATCCATGTGGTGCAACCAAACAAAAGTGCAACTTACGTTACAAACCAACGAGTTTTTGATGAACGATTTAGAGCCAAATTTACTCCCTAACATAAGACACAGCTTCTACAAAGATCATCTGCTGCACTTTAGATCTTTGTTCAGAGGACTAAATCGACATTCACTGAATCACAGATGAGAGCTCGAGTGTGTCTGCCTGTTTTTGCTCTCCGTACAGACTCCTTTTCCTGCATTCACCACACCTCCTGATGTACAGCTGTTCTTAAAATCTACTCCTACGATGATGAATATACTTCACACAAAGACCAGGACACTTTCCAAACTATGATCTAGATTTTTAATTATAAGAAGTTTGTCAAAACACTTAACAAAACAGGCCGGAGAAAGTGTTTTCACAGACAGACGTCTGTTTGTCGGTTAGATTCCTGTGTTTACTGAGGCAGAGTGTGGTCAGGCATCAGGTCCTGAGTAAATACTTGATAACATTTATGACATGAAAATATTCTCACTCGGTCATGCTCGACTGCAGAGCTCCATTTGCTTTCTCTCTGCGTCGCTCTCATAAATAGACATTTATTTATCCCCTGTGTTTACTCAGTGCGACCGCAGCACTTATAGGATGAAGTCTGCAGAGTTAACCGAGAGGCTGAAATGTGAGCCCTGATGGTGGAGCGGGGGGGGGGACATGGCAGGGAAGCCGAGCGTGGACGTTTCTGGAGGGCCTCGGTCGGCTCTGGAGCCTCTCCACGTATTCAATCATTAACTTTGTTCATACAAACTGCACACTGCTGAAATCTAACCAAGAAAAATATTCGCTGTTTGTCCGATTTTCACGTCAGATGGGTGGAAGTTTACCACGGTCCAGAGGAGATCAGAGGTCACGCAGAGATCCAGAAGACAAAGAAACACGTCTCTTTGTTCTGCTTTCAGGAAAACTCTGAGTAAGTCCAGACTTCGGATCAGATTTTATGCTCACTCTCAGCCAGTCTCACAGATCCACTCAGAGTTCAGCGTGTGCAGAGAAACAGGAACACCAGAACAGACCCAGAAGTCACAAAAAGAAAGCTGGGTATTGTGAGGTGTATTCTTCCGTGAGTTATACAGAGAGCTGTTCAGACATGGCTGACATCGTTGGGTAGATGTGCCATGTCAGGTTGAGCGTCTTTGGACTGTGGAGAGCAGGAGAAAAAACCAGAAGCTGCTTGTGATGAGGATGGATAACAGATAGATAGGTACCTTATAGTATAACATCATTTGGGTGGAAGTCAAGAGACACCAGACTTTGGTTTCTGCTCATATTTGAGGGGAGCCGAGGCCATCGCCAAGTCCCTGAAAAATGCAGAGCTGTCAGTCAAATATGCCACGCCCCTTAATTTGCCTTTTTATGCACAACTCTTAATTTCATCCAATAGTTGTGGATGAGTCATAAATAAAGACTGAAACCATCTTTTTAATTAGCTGTAAAAATATAAAATTCAGCTTTAAAAATCGAATTCAGACACATCAGATCAGAATCAGTCTGTCCGATCAACAGAGTATTTCTATAAACATAAAAACGTAGACGCTCAGAGGATTGCAGTGTTTTTCCATTTCCACATTGGCTTCATTTTACAAGATCAGAAAATGATCAGAAACAGTCTGTTCATGCAGGTCCAGTTTTTGCACATGAATAATTCAGATTATGAGTCTGCAAGTTAAAAAATCCCAGACTTACAAAGTTTGAGATAAAACTTACATGTTTGGGTACGATTCCTTTGAATAAAACTAATCTTTTAAGATGGTCTCTGCTCATTTTGAGGCTCTTAAATATTGTTTTGTATTTTTCAAGTTGTATGGTCAGATTAATTTTAAGATTCAGTTCCTTATATTTAGACTGTTTCAGGTCCTTTGAGTTTCTTTTGTAGGTGAAATACAGTAACAGTAACAGGTTTGTAAACACCGTCAGTCTTACAGCATCTCTCTTACCCACATTTTTAAAACACCGTCAGTCTTACAGCATCTCTGTCCCGGCCTGTGTGCGATGGAGGAAGTCCAGCAGAGAGGTCGATTGTTATCAGGGCCTGCAGAAGCAGAGCAGGAAACCACAGCTCCAGCCGGGAGCAGAGACAAGGCGAGGAGGAAGAGTCGCTCTGTAACTGAACGTCGGATGTGAAGGTGGTTTTCACTCTCTGTCTGTCTGGGTTACGTAGCTGTTATCTCCCTTACATAGAGACACTATTACCTCAACACACACACACACACACACACACGAACACCAACAGTTTAAAGTAAGGGCAATGAGATTTATGAAACACATCTGTATCCTTCATCTTACCTGTTTTCAGTCACGTATTCGATGGCCAATAAAACTAAAAACTTTCGGTCTGTTTGATTTTATTTCAAACTGCTATCATGTTTCATATGTTAAAGCTTCTGTAAGGAGTTTTTAATGGGCTAAAATGAACAGTAATGCAACTCTATGATGTACAAAAGCTCATAAGACAAACGACGATAAAATTGACAATGTCTTTACTATCATTTTTAATGTCTATAAGTGCTGTGAGGGGGTAGAAATGCTAAAAAAACATTCAAGATGGGTCATGTATTTAATTAATAACAAACGATATAATGAGGTTTTTTTCATTTAACACAAGTGACAAAATCATCAATAATAGGAGTTACCATTTTCTCCACAGGGGGCGCCAAAGTCAACAGATTCTGAAAGTTCCTCACCGCACCTTTAATGTCAGTGAAGTTAATTTTGTTTGTTTGCAGTTTTAAGTAAACTCAGATCTAAATATGTGGGACATGATGTTGAAGCTGGACTCAGAGGACCAAAGAAAACAGGAGCTGCTCTCCTGGAGCACTTGCCATTTTCAGAGTTTTTTCACCTCTGCATCCCTGAACGTTTATCTGCGCTCTCCTCAGGCAACATCCAGGAGGCCGACCAGCTCAGCACCACAGTGAACACCCACTCCAATGAAAATTACATTGTCGTCTCTATGTTCATGTGGCTTTTTTCTGACGCTACAGGACAAATCATGAGAAAAATAAATGTGAAATTGCATTTCTCAGTATGTCTGCATTCAGATCGCTGTAAATTTCTGATAGACCCAAACGGCAGGTTTAGAAACTGTGAGATTTCCAACATCACAACTCCAAGCTCCACCCCCTGGAGCCCCGCTATGCAGGCCAGACTTGGAGAAGTAGAGAGGTCAATCGCAGAACAAGCGTGTGCGATAGCAGATTGCAATTCTCATGAGAAAGCTAATTATGATCCAAGAGCTGAATAGCTCCTATGTTACCTGCTTCTACTACATCGGCAATGTTAGGCTGCAAATTAGCGTGAATAGGAGTGTGCAGAGCAGCGCTGTCTCCACCCACGACTCAAAGGCGAATCGCTAATGTGCTACTGGAGCTATGCAGAAGAAAAGCCCTTGAAAATGACACAGGTAACATGACTTTGGTTAAAAACTCCATAATCACTATTAAAAGACCACTGAGAACACTTAAAGTAGTAAAAAAAATAAAACGATAAGAGTGTGGATGATGAGGAACTGAGAGGCTGCAGATGTCCCACACACGCTGAGATTGGGATGTTTGACATCACATCAGTATCCATCCAAAAACTCGTTACAGGAGCTCTAATATCATGACAGCAGTAGTTTTTTGTCCTGTTTCGAGTCTGTTTGTTTTCAGCAGTGCCTCATCTCTTCTCTCAGACAAACAGGAGGACCTGTTTGACGGCCCGCTTGTTAACTCGCTCCATACTCCAAATAAACCAGCGCCGGCTAAAACACAGTGTCATCATTCACATTTGCTGTGTTTGTACAGCATGAATTGTATGATTATATGTCATCATATTGTTGTAGAAGCAGCTTGTGTTACACAATAATTTTGATGTGAAAAGTTCACAGAGTCCGCTCGACTATTTTCAGCATAAAGACTCTTAATGTTTGATTCTGCGTCTCGTATGTTGGATGAGGGATTTTTCTTCCAAACCTCACCTATAGGTAACATTTATAAGACTGTTCGTATAAAATGAAACTGAATCCAAGTGGTTATACATGCAGGAGGATAGATCTGCCCTTGTTGAGCGTTATACAGACATCACAGTGCGATGCCCGTCCAGTTATTTTTGCTCTGTGGCAGCCTGGTGGCTCCATGCGCTGACAGTGAAGGATGTGTGTGTGAAACCTGTGTGTGCATTTCCTGCCTGATTTTTTCAATATTCTCGTTTTACAAAAACCAAAATGAAGGAGGCGGTGGAGCCAGAGCGGGCCCGGAGGAATTCCTGCGAGCTGAGTGTTTTCAGGCTGAAATGGAGTGTGACAGCTCGACAGCCAGAGGTCTCATTGTTCTTCGTTCTCCCAGAAACCCTTTCAGGAGCCCGAACGAACGAGCTGATAGAATAATGTTTGTTGTTCCAGTGGGGAAATGACAGGAAGGGACTACACGAACCGGCAGTTGCTTCACATGCCACAAAAGCCTCGTCTGGCCCTCAGCGAGGCCTCGAGGCTTCGGATTTACAAAGCCGCAGATTTAAGGCGGTAAGCGCCGGTAGCCGGGCGGACGGCATGACGCCGCGGCCACAAAAGACCAGGATTGTCCCGGAGGCTTTAAGACACACGGCGGGGTGTTATCTGCGTCTGGAAGGTGTGCGCTTCTGTGTGGTCGGCCCCGAGAGATGAGTCATGTGGAGGGATTAGGAGCGAGTCTGGAGCAGGAGGAGCTGGTGTTAGCGATTAGCTTCAGTCAGGGCGATACTGTGTGAGGTGATGGAGGGATGAAACACGCCTCCTCCGCTGTGGTCACATCATCTGCCAACACAGACTCATAAAAACGGGCAGAAAACAGAAAACACAACCCGGATCAGGTTTTTCCACTACAGCTGACAGAAAATACAAGTTTGAACATTTTCAGAGTTGTTGAAGCAGCGTCTGCCCTCAGTGTGAGTGAACGTGATGTAAAAATCACTTTTAATGGTAAGAAAACCAAAGAAACCACAGTCTATCTACCATTTTACAGCAGCTATAGACTCGATCACAGCAGAGAATTTAAGTCTATACCACACTCCTGGAGTCATGGAAAAATATCAGCGTCTTTACATGATTCATGAGAGTCAAACCACAACAGCACCGACGAGGAGAGGGCGTGGGCGTCTCTGTGAGCTCCCACGCCTGTGAAACTGTCGCTGCCTTCAAGTGGAAATGTTCAGGGGTTTGAAATGTTAAAAATGTGACTGTAGAGACAGGAAGAGAGATGCTGTACTGATCCTGACGGAGGTTCCTGGATGTGTGGTCTACCGAAGATTGAAATGTGGACTCAACATCCCCGGCATGTCAGAAGAAAATATGTGGTCAAGAGGTCATGAGGCATCCTGGATGAGGTCTTGATCATTTTTCATGATGAGTGGATTTCTGCAACTGATTCAGTGACATCAAGCACTGTTTTTAGATTAATAACAGGCGCCATGCTGGTCGACCCAACGTGTGGCAAAGACTCTGAGCTCAGGCAGGTCTTTTAACGTCTTTGCTAACAGCTAAAGATTACCCCAAGTCAAGTCAACCATGTCTCTCATCATGAGAAACCATAGACTGTATATACTATAGACAACTTGGCTCCGACTTCCATCATTATATGAACTTGAAGCCGAATTGCTCTTGGTATTTTGGGATTTTCTCCACTTCCTGGAACCACCACTAGCGCAGTAGCGTTGTATGCATTCGGCATGAGAGTCGCTGTGATGACGCTCGTCTCAAACAGTGCATCCCCTGGGTGAGCTATGCTATCTTCTTACGCCAATAGGCTGTATCAAGTGTCAATCATAGAAAACATGAACCCCCTAATAACTTTTAAAAACGGAGCTGTACAGAAAAAAGAGGACTTGAGCACAAACCAGTCTTACAGTAACTACATGTCAACATCACAACCAGGGGGGAGAAACATTTATATTCTGTGTAATTCATTTATAAAGTTTGTCCACAGCTCCATAGGGATTGCTGGCGGAGGCGGGATTTATGACCTATACTGCAGCCCGTCACCAGAGGGTGCTGTTCTCGTGGAGGATTCACCCAGCAAAGAGGCAAACTTAATATCGTTAAAACTAATCAGTTTTAATAAAATCTCTCTTCATGAGCTGTTAGCATTTATTAAACCAGTCTAGCTTTTTAGAATGGGTGTGTATGAGGCTTTGGATCCTTATAGCAGAGCCCCAAGTGGACGCTTGAGGAACTGCAGCTTATAGTGCCATCATCATTTTTATGTTCTGTCATGACTCCATTTGTCACCATTTGGAGGAAAAAATACAGACTGTAATGAGCGGAGCCAGACGTCTGAGTGAAACTGATAAATCTTAGAGTCACAGAGGAGGAGGAGGAGGAGGGAGTCAAACTTTTCTAATCAACAGAAAACTGAATGAAGCGTCTTTAGTGTTTTCCCTTGTTATGATGTACGGTGAGAGTTTCTGCGGAGGCTTCATAGTCTGCTGGTTTCTTCTGTGGGTGAGTCACAGTATCATATCGGACTTGAGCTGCTCGGCTCAGAGCACAAACCTGATAACATCTTCAAGTTTCAGTTGTTGTTGACCGTTGACTCTCACTGATGCTGAAAAGACTCTTGAAACGACATGAAAGCCGAGTCACCCTCAGCCTGCATCCTCTCCACGCTGAGAGTCAGAGAGCGCAAATGTTTCCAGAAGCCGTTGGTATGAAGTTTTATCTCGCTGGAACATCATACGCCGAAAATTTCAGGGCCTGTTTCTGGCTGATGTGCCGAACTTGGCCGTGTTTACCTGCATGTTACTGACTGTTGAATCATTCCCGGGAAAAGAGTTGAGAGCAACAGAGGAGAAGAAGAGCAGAAACTTCACTCCGCTGCTGTAATGTGATCTTTTTTGTGTAAAAGTGGATGCTCTTTTCTTTTTGAACCCGTACACAGCTGTTGCATCACTCTCTCCTGAACTCGGCTCCAAGACTCTATCAGGGCAACGATAGATCTGCCGTCTACAGGAGCCGCCGATTTTCTACCGCTTAGATTGGACGGTTTGGAGTTAATAGATGTGAGAATAAGCGGGAATTGTGTGTTTTTTCTCTCCTATTACCAGCTGCGCTCTCGTCCAGCTCTCTCTTTTTATATTAAAGTGTGAAACTGGAGGTGAGACATAAATGATTGAGCTCCTGCTGCTGCTGCAGATCGTCTCACCGAGAAAAGAGCTCCGAAATGAACCCGATCAAAGCTTCTTCAGTTTCTCTTTACTCTCCAGGTTGTTTCACACGATGTTGAATTTCTCCTCTCTGCAGGGAGACGAAGCTGCAGAATCTCCGAGACCTCCGTATTACCTTTTTACTGAAACAGCTGGAGAAGGAAAGTCGAGTTCAAACGACCTGGTTTCTACTCTGAGATGCTTACATGTGAACACGTATGTTTATTTAATATTTAAAGACGCTTATCGTCGTCTTTAGTGGAACAAGAGGGAGTCTGACGGCGGTTTGAGAGTTTAACTGAGAAACCAAACTCTCAAATCAGCGCTCAGTCCAGAGTCTGTTCCCACATGTGTCATTTTTAATACCTCTTTACATCCTCGGGGCCTTTTTCCACATGCAGCTTCACTCTCTCTGACTTTGTGTTAATGTAGGACGGCGGCCAAGGCAGCATGGCTGTGCTAACCTATCCTGTTATTTGAAATCTTCTTTAGCACAAAGCTCTCTGGGAGTCTTGATCAGATTTACAGCTTTCCTTTCTGCGGCTACAGACTTAAAGGGATAGTCCGCTTGTTTTTGAAGTGGGGTTGCATGAGGTACTCGTCTGCAGTAGGTGATTCTGGACTTTAATAAGACCCTGGGTGGAGTTCTTACACCGCACGCTCAACCCCGTCATGGGATGGACAAAGGATTACCCATAATACATCATGAGCTCAATTATAAATGCTGTCTGTAGCCCAACGTCCCAAATACAGATGCAGTTTTAAACAGGTGCTTTTTGCCATCTGACAAAAGCTGATCCTGAGAAGGACCGGTCCTGGTCCTGGTCCTGGTCCTGGTCCTAATTATGGACCTTCTGGTTCCGCGGTTTTTACATCAACAGCTCAGGGGTGTTAATTTTTGTAAATATGAAACAACCTGAAAGTTATGCCTCCCTCCTGTCCTTGTGTTTCCCCCTCAGTTTCATGTTTAGTTTCTCCTCCTCCTCCTCTTCCTCACCCGGCTCTCCCTCATCCTCCCTGACAGCAGGGTTCATGAGTGAGTTATGATCTGGATCTTGGTCTGATCCTGGTCTCTGTCAAGCACCGAAGTTCACCTCCTTATCAAGGAGTCCGAGCTCCAGAGGACTCCTCTCCTACACTCCCTTACTTCCTCTCTAATCCTTCTCGTTCACTCCTCTGTCCCTCTGGTTTTACATTTTCTCCTCATGTCTTGTTTTTTCTCCTTCTTTTTCCCACTTTTCCATCCTCCCTTCATTCCTGTCCTGTTTCAGACCCTCTCTTTATAAACTTGGAGGACACTTTTCTAATAATCATCTTTTAAAGTTGACCAGTTCTGGCGTTTGTCAAATAGAACATGCATGAAGAAACCTGGACACTGTAAAGGTCATTACATACCGGCAAATTAGCGAAGTGACGTGAAATGCGATGCGATAAAACTTGCATATTCGCAGAGAGAAGAAGGAGAAACAATGGCGACTACATCCTCAAGTGATGATGACCTGGTCATGGTTGTCAGCCGATTAAATAACGAAAAGAAAAAGAGGAATCTTAGTGTCGGGGTTCATCCAATACTGACCTTGCGACAGGAGATGGGGGAGCTCCACACAACGATCCAGGAGCTCAAACAATATTTCTGGATGTCCCTAGGACAATTTCAAGAACTGCTCCATCAGCTGACTCCATGTTTGCAGAAGGAGTGGACGAATAACAGAGGGCAGATTGATCCGGTAACACATGTCTGAGATTTATATCGGGATTTAAATGTTCGCAAAATTCACTAAAGAGGTGAAAAAATGACAGTCGCTTTTTCATTCTGCAGAAGGACATAGCCGGTGTGGAAGCTTGCATTGACTTTATGAGGTTTGAAAAACAACAACAATTGTTCGCTTCGTAAATTTGACAGCGTGTAACGACCTCAAGTCTTTAGTATTTTCTCCTCTCTAGGTGCAGAAATTAAAAACTTTTTTGACAGTTTATTGATCGTCCTGTTGCTGACTCTGACTCGTCCTCAGTCAGGAACTGCATTCAAACTTTAGGCTAAATTTGAACTTTTTTGGGCTGTAAAGTCCGAGTCAACTGATCGACTTATTGGTCGATAAGTGCTGAGTCGACAAAAGTCTGATTGGTCGACTCACCTTCACCCGACACACTGGAGACAGGATTGAAGAGCGTCCACATTAATCAATGTCTGGTGGTTTGTTAAATATTTGTTTTTTAGCCTTTTGTGTTCAGTTGCCTTCTTGTGCTGATATCAGTATATTTTCACGTCGTCCCCCCGCCGCAGAAGTGTTTGCCATCAGAGTCGGCTGTCAGTTTTTGGAAGGAAGTTTCAGGGTTTTAGTCGAACAAGAGTTTCTTTGGTTGATGACAGCCCAGAGGAGAAGGATGTAACTTATAGAGGATCTCACTCTTTAATAAAAACTTTTTGGGACAGTTGTTTTCAGATAAAGAAAAGTATGAGCCTGTCGGTGACAGAAACAAGCGAGCGCTTTAATCAGGAGAAATGATTCAAGGGTTACGCTGCACCTCCTGGAGAAAATCCAAAACTTTCCCATAAGTCTTTTCAACCTGATGAAATACAAAAATAGAGTTCAGGTTTAAAAATAACTTTGATAAACAGCAGGTGACCCGTGTTACAGCTGCTCTCTTTAATCACCCACGGTGCTGATGGAGCTGCGGCACATTATGAATCTTTCTCCGTCCTACTTCATCACTAAGTTGCAAAATCATGAATGACTCCTTGTTCTAGTTTCTGTTTGCCAAAGTTCCTAAAATATCTGGGAACATCCATATTTCTTTCTAATCTAATTCCCCTTTAATCTCAGGGATTATTTTATGAAGCGTGTATTCGTCATGTTCTTTTTCTTCAGACTCCTCGTTCCTCCTCGGTCGGTATCAGCCGCTCTGAGGCAGCCAAACGCTCTCCCACATGTCGAGGATGATACTGATGTGAAATCAGCAGAGTCACTCATGAATCATGGTGACGGGGTGTGAGCGGACACCTCATGACTCAACAACAGTGTCAACACACGAGACGGACATCGCAGGCAAACAAAAACAATACAGAGAGGTCGACTCACGTAACATAAGAGGAAAGAAACACGATAATGACTGTTGGTTTGAGGTTCTGACCGAAACGTCTAAAGAAAATCCAGTCATCCTTTCTGAAAGAGTGTTAGATTTTGATTCATCAGATCTTACCGTACAAGTGATATTAAAGGCGTAGTTGACGTTTGGAGAGATTGGTTATTATCATGAACCTCGTTTCTATGGCGATCATGGTCCTAAAGTGCGATCTCCACAAACTAAAGAGATAAAAGTGGAAAAAACCCGTTCACCCTGACAGGTGCAGGGCTGCAAAAAACATTGACCAATGGGAGCCATCCATCCCAGACAGCTCCTATTTGTCAATCTCCTGCTCCGCCTCTCCATCCAATCACCTCGCTGTATTCGACACAACCCTCTCCCGTAGTTCGGACTCGTCCCCTCCCACTCTCCCGGTCCTCCTTGGAGCTCTGAGCGGCTAAAAGTAGCATAGCAGGACGGGGGAAGAAAAACACTTCTGCTCGCCCCACCGCAGAAGAAAACGCAAGCCAACAGAAGAAAGGGCGGAGTCAAAGGGGAAATGAGACCAAGCGAGGAATTGAACTTGAATAAACATCAGGTCATCCTTGGAGCGGTGGAGAAAACAGACGCAGAGAAAACAGAGTTTTTGTTGAACAGGTCATTTTTATCGCCTTTTATCGTGGCTCATGTTACATAAATAACTCTGATTAGTCTCTGACACATCAACACGGTAGCTGTCCAGGCAGCTGCAGACGGCGCTCGCTAGCAGAGCTGGCGTTTACTGCCGCTAGTCACTAACAATCCGACTTTGTGAATCCTATTTGAAGCTAGCGTAGGATCTTCTGCCGCCGGCTTTTTGGTCTGCCAGAGGGGGTGTGTCAGATCTTCTCAGATCACCAACCATGACTTTAAGTCTATGCAGTGACTCAAACTACAGCGACCTGTTACTCCTAAACCTGGAGATCTTGTTCAGCATTAATGTAGCCTTCAGAGATGTGGAAGATACCCATGACATGGACATGAACAAGCCGGATGGACCTGCTACTCTTTAGAGAGGTGGGTGCAGAGTCCAGGATTTCCAAAAAGAGACCAATCAGATTACAGGACAGTCACCGATGTTTCAGGATCATGTTCATATTTTCCTCTGCAGATTCATGCCTGTTCGCTCAGACAGTGTGGCCACTCGTTCCCTCTCCTCAAAGGACATGGTGTCCATGATTTCCAAAGAGAAAGTCAGATTTTGATTTGACGCCACATTATTCGTCTCTCCAGGATAGTTATACAATAAAAATTCATAATGTCAGCCTATTCTTGCAGCTGGGGTTAAAGTTTTCTTCTAACTAAACCAGCGAGCTTCTCTTTTTCGCTCCGCCTGTTGTGATGACAAACTTCCTGCGGCCTTCCTAAGAAGAGGCGCGAGATGTTGCTGCAATGCTGTCAGTCAATTTATCACGGTATAATGTTCAAAACACACACAGACACAACACAACACAACACAACACATGGGAGCTATGTAAATACTGTTTCAAAATAAAAGCATGTTTTTTTACAACACATAAAATGAAGCATTTGGATAGTAAAAGTGTCAAAATAAAAGACAGAGGACAGGAGTTTGGGGGAGTTTGAGGTCTGGTCCCAGTCTTATCCAAGATTCTCTCTCTCTCTCTTCCCTGGCTCTGCTCTTTCCACCGTCCAACCCTCCAAAATAAAAGCATGAAAAACCAGATGAAGTGCATTTTAGTTTCTGCCACAAAGCTGATGGACGGGGTAAAAAAAATGTTTGTTTTTCCTCGTTTGGCACACCTTCTCTCAGAGGGTGAGGCATGTTGTGTGACCCTTTACCTCATATGGCGCTTCCTGTTGTGTTACGTCATTACCCAGACTGGAGCGACGATGATTCATAAATGGAAACTAGGATCAGCTGATCTTCATTTCATCTCACCTGCAGAGTATCGCACACCTGTACCTGAAGAGCTCACACCGTCACTGTGACGAATGAGGAATGTTCACCTGAATTTTTGAACCTTAGTGTCACTTTTTGGCATCTAAAAATTGTATTAAAAACAAACTTTATTCAGTGTAAAGCTTTATTTATCTATCAAATATCGTCTCTCTGCGTTCCTACTGATTTAATTCACCATGAAATCATCCTGAATCTTCTGTCGGCTTGTTTCCAGAAACATTTGTTCGAAGGTTCACGTGAGGAAAAGAGCTGCTACACCCGAGTCCCTGAGCAATCATCACTAGGAGCAGCTTCAGGCGTGTACGAGCTCAGAAGAGGTTAGAAAACACCTCAGATAACTCTGACAGGGTGAATTAGAGAGCAGCTGCGCGTTCTTTGTTTTAAGGTCGTTTGCGTCTTCGTCTTCACCTGTCACTTCTTTTGTGTCCTCGCTGCAGATCGTATCGTCTCGCCAGCACAATGCTGCAGAGCCGGACCGTCAGGATCCACTTCAGCACCACCATAAACACAGAAAACACACAAACGACTACATCCTGCTCGGACTCAGGAATGAGGCCGGGCGACATTTCTGTGAGGTCAAAGGTCAAACTCCTTCAGAAACGTTCCTGTTACTGCACAAAGGTCAAAAACACAGCAGGGGGTGAGCAGCAGTGATTTTCAGCTCAGTTTCAGGAAAAAACAAACACTGTAAAAAAAATCAGAAAACAGTTTTAATCCATAAAAAATCCATTTGTTTATTTTTGTCTCTTTTTTATTTAAAGCGTTTCAAATAAAAAGTTTTCTCTCTTTCTCTTTTAGGTTCATTTTTTCTTAAACTAATAATTAATTTCACTCATTTTTAAAAGTTTTTTACAGATCACAAAAAGTTTGACAATTAGGTCAAAGGAGAGGAAGATCAGTTTTGGTTATTACTTGACTGTCTTTGTTTGAAATACTTGATTGTGATTGGTTGAGACACATAACGATGGTTATTTATCCTAAATGCCACAGATGATCACACGTTTGACACACCAAATCAATCCACAGAAAAGTGCCAATCATTAGCGTCGTCGTCGTCATTTTCTTCCGCTTATCCGGGTCGTGGGGGCAGCAGCTTCAGGAGGGAAGCCCAGATGGCCCTCACCCCGGCCACTTCCACCGGCTCCTCCAGGGGGATTCCAGGTGAGAGATATAATCCCTCCACCTGGTCCTGGGCCGGCCATGAGGTCTCCTCTCAGTGGGAGAGAAAACTCTATTGTTTGATAAAAAATTAAATAAAACTCATTTTTGATTGATGTTGTTGACACATTTCAACATGGACATAAAGTTGAAGTGCATGTGAGGAGTTTGTGTTGATTTTGGCGCCCTCTGTTGTTCAACTTGTCTTCTTGTCATTCTTAAACAGTGTCCTCTGACAAAGAATCTCATCCTGCAGACTTTTGATCGTCACATTGATCAATTATTGTCAATATTGTATCTAAAAAAATCTTCTCTTGTGAGTTTTCAGTTTATCTTTGTCCCTGTTTCCCTCCTGTTCTCTGTGTTTTATTCTTTCGATCAGTTTTCAGTGTTTATTTCCTGTTTTATTTTGTAGGAGTTGATTCCTTGTGTTTCTAGTCTGGTTTTACTTCCCTTGTTTTCCCTCCTTTGTTAATCACTCATGAGTTTCACCTGTGTCTCGTCTGCCTCACCTGTTGCTCGTTTCCCAGTGTGTTTATAGTCCCTGTCTTAGTCTCTGTCCTGGTTGGTTCATTGGACAAGTAAGTCCAGTTGTCCTTTCAACGTAGAACTGGAAATTACAGACGCTACATCCTCAGATTTAAGCATAATGCTGAATAATATCTCCAGGTCAACATCTGCTGCCATCCAGACAAAGACTTTTCCAGGGAAGACTGCAGAGAATGTTGATATTTTTAAAAAGAGGCTGAAGACTCATCTTTTTAATCAGGCTTTTAATTGACTAGTTTAACTCTTTTAATCCCTTTTATGCTCACTTTTATTGTTTTACTATCTAAAACTTTTTATTACCGTTCTATTTTATACTTCAATCTATCACTTTTCTTATTATTATTTTAATCTGGCGTGTTTTACAGTGCACAGAATCATTTTATCTTACATTATTTACTGGGTCTGTCTTAGCGATTACAGTTTTATTCCTTCAATTTTAGTTTCTATACTTTTATGTCTTATTTTATTCTTTTAGTCCCTCAGTTTTTCCAGTGTTTCCTCCTGGGGGCTGCTTCACCGGGAGCGGGTTCTGGTCTGTTGGTGGGGGCGGCGTTCTGGGGACAGCTCTGGCCCGGGTGGAACCAGAGAGCTCTACACCTTGGAGTGGAGCCTCCTGTCTGCCCGGGCTGGTGGTCCCTGTGACGGCGCCCCCTGCAGCAATGGGCCGGGATGCTTCCTGGTCGACGTGGCCCCCAAAGGTAGCCTCGTCATGTCTCCTCACCATCAGCTGCTAACTGTGTAGATGCGTATGTATGTGAAGTTGTGTGTGTGGAAATGTATGTCTATGTGCACGGGTGTGTGTATGGGTATAATTGTGCGGTTGGGAGGTTTGGGCTTTTCTTGGGGATTTTAATGTTTCATTTTCTTTTTATGCTTTGTAAGGCACTTTGTGTTACAACTTTGTAGGAAAACTGCCATATAAATGAAATAAAGTTGAAAGTTGAGAGTTGAAGACCTTCATATGATCCCAAAACAGGACAAAGGAGACGCTGAACTGTTGAGCAGCTGATTGTTGTTTTTCAATTAAATTCAGACTTTAAACGACTGAAAACCATCGAACTCTGATGTTATATAATGGTCGATTCTGAAACCTACTTTAAGATTCAAAACAAAACCAAAAATACATAAGTCACATAACAGGTTAACACACACACACACACACACACACAGAGACACACACACAGACAGGTTAAAGGTGTGTCAGGGATGATTCACATGGCTCAGACAGAGTTAAACTTCAGCAAATAAAACAGAGAAACTTTAATCCTTCACTCAGAGCACAAATCCCTGCAGAGCTCCACAACCTGACAAGGAAGAGGAGGAAGAGGAGGAAGAGGAGGAGGAGGAGGGACAAGCCCCGCCCATCGGCTGAGGAGGATGAAGAGGAAAAAGGGAAGCAGAGGAGGAGAAATAAGAGGAAGACCTTTTATAGAAGGAGAAGTGAGTCAAACAGACAGACCCCATATCTGAAAGTGATAAAAGCCCAATCAGAGGGTTTGATAAGGACGACTGGAGCTGATCGTCTCAGTCGGTCAGGAAGCAGCTGAAGGTCTGAAACAGTCAGATAAACACACACAAACACACACATCCACACACACACACACGCTTCGTTTCTCTAATTAAGGAAAAAAACAGCAATCGTCACGTCTTCGTATCGCTCACTGTTTGTCTGGATTGAGAATAAAACCAGGAAGAAGAAACAGATTTAAGACGAACTCGGGGGCGAGTAAATCAAACATCCACCCAGAGCTTCAGGTACTCGAAGGATCCCAGAATCTACACACACACCCTCAGATCTAATCTCTTAAATATCAGACTTTAATCTCACTGATTAGCTTTAATTTACAGGATTAGACTGAAGGATTCTTATATAAATCTTCAGCTGGGTTATTAACCCTTTAACAAGCGTGGGCTGAAAATCGGCGGATCGCTGTGAAATAAGCATGAAGATAAATGAAGATGGAGATCGTTGAGCTGCTGGAACGTCTTCCTGCTTCCTGCAGCTGCCATGATGGAAAATAAAGACGCCGCTGTGTTTCTGAGCGTTACTCTCTCCTCCATGTTGGATCTCCTGAACCGAAACAGAAGTGGAGTTAAAAACAGCGTGAACAGAACCTTCACGCCTCGGTCCTTTGCACACTTTGGCCCTTAAGCGCACTTTGAGGAAGACAGATCTCAGGACGGGGCCAATAAGTTCACTGACATCATGTATGAAGGGGCGGGGCTTATCCGGACAGGTGTGATGTCCATCAAAGGTTCATAATGTGTCAACAAACCAAAGAGAGAAGTTTTTGGTTTGTTAGTCAACTCTTTACCTTCTTCTTCTTCTTGTACAGCCAGAGGAAGATGCTGCAAGCGGTAAGAGACTTTCCCAACGAGTAACGGCCAACTGCCGCTGCACACGCATACACACACATGCACACACGCGTGCACACACACATGCAAACACACCAGAAGAGTATTTATAACGGAGAATCAGATGAAATAACGAGAGCAGCAGCAGCAGCAGCAGCAGCAGCGGCGTGTGTAAACGGTGTTGTTGTTGTCAGGAGCAGCAGGCAGATGTGCTCAGAGATTAGATCTGACCTCAGATCACAGCCGCCGCTGTTATTTAAGCTGCGGTGGGCTGCGGCTGCACGCTGGTGTAACAGCCAGACCTGATGGAAGGACCGGGGGGGAGTCAGAGGGGGGCGACTGCAGGAGCTGATAGGAACCGAGGATGATGGGAACCACAGACACCCCACAACACTCCCCCACTCTCCCCCACAGTGAGGACGGCCACAGGAAGCATGTGGGCCCTGCAGGAGCTGCAGAACAGCATAACACACTTCCTCTTTTCACACACACACACACACACACACACACACACACACACACACACACACCGTCTTACATAAGGAACAATACATAACAAACTCTGCAGCCAGGTCGTAACTTCTTAAATATGTTCACATCGATATTTTCTGGTATTTCTGCAGAAAGTGTTATTTGCTCTTTTTGACACCTGCAGGTAGAAACTGATCACATGACCGATTTCTGTGTTTACGTCTGCTCAAAGCTCCTGAAATTTAATGAATAACAGTAAGAGCTTCATCTGAGCACAAATAGACAAAAAATTGACAAAAACGTATTCCTAGAAAGAAACATGATGAGTAAAAATAGCGGGAAATATTTGTGAGTGGACGCGGGTGATGATGTGATGTGATATGAGAACATATCAAAAGAAATAAAAACATCTGAGGCTGAAGAAGGAGAGTCATTTCCAGAAGGTGTCTGCACATCTGACCGTTGAAACTGTCGCCACATTGTTGTTCTCAGTTGCTTCATTTGCCGTCATGTTGTAAACATGGCGCTGCGGGTTTTGACATCACATCCTGCACGAATACCTTCTCCAGACAATGACACACAGGTGCAGCTTCCCATCATCGTGTAACCTCACTTCCGTATTTTCTACAAAGTGCTGAACATTAGTTTGATCTTCTGTTAATAGTAGATGATTTGAGACAGGACACACGAGACGACACAGACAACTGAGTTTCCTTTGAGGATCAATATGCACTATATTGCCTAAAGTATTTGCTCATCCATCCAAATGATCAGGTGTTCCAATCACTTCCATGGCCACAGGTGTGTAAAATTAAGCACCTGGGCATGCAGACTGTTTTTAAAAACATTTGTGAAAGAATGGGTCGCTTTCAGGAGCTCACTGAATTCCAGCGTGGAACTGCGATAGGATGCCACCTGTGCAACAAATCCAGTCGTGAAGTTTCCTCACTCCTAAATATTCCACAGTCAACTGTCAGCTGTACTATAAGAAAATGGAAGTGTTTGGAAATGACAGCAACTCAGCCAGGAGGTGGTAGGCCACGTTAACTTACAGACCTCCAAACTTCATGTGGCCTTCAGATTAGCTCAAGAACAGTGCACAGAGAGCTTCATGGAACGGTTTTCGTGGTCGAGCAGCTGCATCCACGCCAAACATCACCAAGTGCAATGCAAAGTGTCGGCTGCAGTGGTGTAAAGCACGCCGCCACTGGACTCTAGAGCAGTGGAGACGCATTCTCTGGAGCAACGAATCGTGCTGCTCCATCTGGCATTCTGATGGACGAGTCTGGGTTTGGCAGTTGTCAGGAGAACGGTACTTCTCTCTGTCTGCATTGTGCCAAGTGTAAAGTGTAAAGTCTGGTGAAGGGGGGATCGTGGAGTGGGGTTGTTTTTCAGGAGCTGGGCTTGTCCCCTTAGTTCCTGTGAAAGGAACTCTGACTGCTTCAGCATACCAAGACATTTTGGACAATTCCATGCTCCCAATTTTGTGGGAACAGTTCGGAGCTGGCCCCCTCCTCTTCCAACATGACTGTGCACCAGTGAACAAACCAAGGCCCATAAAGACGAGGATGGCAGAGGCTGGTGTGGATGAACTTGACTGGCCTGCACAGAGTCCTGACCTCAACCCGATAGAACACCTTTGGGATGAATTAGAGTGGAGACTGAGAGCCAGGCCTTCTTGTCCATCATCAGTGTGTGACCTCACAAATGTGCTTCTGGAAGAACGGTCAAAAATCCACATGAACACACTCCTAAAACTTGTGGACAGCCTCCCCAGAAGAGTTGACGTTGCTCTAGCTGTAAAGGGTGGACCAACGTCAAATTGGACCCGATGGATCAGGAATGGGATGTTTCTTAAACTCATATCAAGGTGAGCGAATACTTTTGCAATATATTTCTTCTTCTTCTTCTTTAGTTCTTTTGACATTTGCAGATGCAAACTGGTCACATGACAGATTTCTGCACAAAGCTCCTCAAAATTTAATGAATTACAGTAAGAGCTGCACCTGAGGCACAAATGAACAAAAATGTAGAGTTTGTAAGAATAAGAGCGTCGTCGTCTTCTTCTTCTTCTTCTTCTTCTTCTTCTTCCTGTTTCATGGAGAAGAAGAATGGATAGAGATGGGCCAAATAATTAAACACATTCAGGTCTACGAAGCTGTCTAATTATTTCACTCTTATTTGATCTTATATTTATTTATACGTTCTGTGTGTGTGTTATCATGAATTCTGAGTCATTATGAGAGTCACTGATCTGGTCTTTTCTGGTCGTCCCTGAGCTCCATCGTCCTGTAGATTCTCCTGCAGACGTCCTACAGCTGTGGACCTGCATAACTCCAGCTGCTCTGACTACATCTCTCTCTCCTCTCTAAACCCAGTTCAGTCTCAGCAGATGACTGTCTAACATGATTCTGGTTCAGCTCCAGGATTCTGCCTGTTAAAGGAAGTCCCTCCTCCCCACTGTGACTTGCTAATGCTCCCCAAAACGAACTCAGAATTTACTGACCTGAATTTATTCTTAATTTCATGTCGCAGTTTGAAACATGAGATCTGCATCCAGATCCGTCAAATCTTAGGAACCTGCCCGGCAGTGACCTCTGAACTTCACACTGTTGTGCGTTGATGGTCTGTTGTATTTTCTGCTGAACTCATCGTTTTTTCCATGAGTGTTTAAAACTGAACAAAACCCAGTCATCATTTTTCACTGTGACTCACCGCCAATAACATGAGAACATGACAAAGTGCAGATTTTCAGCTCCTACCCTCAAACTTCAAACAAATCCTCAGTTTTTAACGATTATTAAAGTCATCCCGTCATTTTAGCTGCACTTTTGTGAACTTTAATTCATAAAAAAGGCCTCATTTATTAACATTTACATCAATTTCATCAAACTTAACCTCGGACTAAAAAAGAGAACTATTATCAGAGTCGTTTCCTGGACGTCGAATCCTGTAAATTGGAGAGGTGACGGTTTTATGAAAGAGTAAGAGCTCCAGCGTCTAAATATGAGTTGTGATCCAGAGCAGGAGTCAGAGTCAGCTGCTCAGTCCTTTAATTCAGATCGTATCTCCTAACAGTCTCTGAGCTGTAAACCGTCCTGCTCAGTGTTGGACGTAAAGATCAGAGATGACCTCGGTCTGACTGACCCCGAAACACAAACAGAGAAAGTTTTTAATTTCAGTTTTGAGGAGAAAGTTTCCAGACGGCGATGAGAGCTGTATCATCGCTCTCACAGCCTCGTCCGTCTCCGTCTTTAAGTCTTTGTTTAACGAGGAGACCGCGTCCGTCTGTGTTTGTCCGTCCCGTAAACACAGGCCTTTTGTTTTCCTGCTGCGGACACTTAAGAGGAGGTTTGTCCTGCTCTTGGACTTCAGGGAAGTTATTTTCTGGTTTGTTTTGGAGGCCTTGTAAATAGTTTGTGATTTGTGGCGAGCCGAGCCGTCAGCTCCTCGTTGGGAGCGGAGAGGAGGTTTTTCCCAGCTGTCTCCATCTGTCCCCTCTCAATCGCTCTCTCCCCTCTTTGTCCTCAAAACAACATCCCGTCTGACGGCCTGTAAACTCGGCTACAGTGTGGCGCCGCGCCTTCAGCCGCAGGTTTGATAATTCTATTGGAGAGGTCTGGAGAGTCCTGGAAAGTCCTGGAGAGTCCTGAACCTGCAGTAGGCCGCTTAAAGCTGTGTGGGAGGATTCGTTTCAGACAATAAGAGAGGTCGGGTCAAAATGTGCTTTTGAAAAAATACTTTAATTACAAAAAATGTGATTTTCACACAATCTTTTGGGAATATTGAACTGATAAAAGTTTGCCCACTAAAAGTTCTTGTTCTTTTCACAGAGGTCCACATTGTTGATTTGAGGGTCTTAGAAACAGAGATGGAAAAGGAGACATGTTTAGAGTCCAAATCATCGTATCCACCAGACTCCACCCACAAAAAACATGATTAAATAGAAGATACAACATTTGTATTTTGGGTGAATTAGCCCTTTAAATGCAGGTAACATGATATCACTACTTATTGAAGGTCATTGTTTCTCTGCAGTCTGTGCGGTTGTGAAAGTGGACCAAAGTTGGTTGTGTTTTTTTAAGGAGAACAACTACAATGAATTTATTCAGGAAACGCCAGCTCCTCTCCAGGGGGGCGGCGTCCAGCGTTGTTGATTCTGGACTCTGACGAACTCAGGAGACAGAAATATTCACAACACCCCAATTACCTCCAAACCGAACGCCAACACGGCTGCAGCTGCACTCCTCTGCTCCTGAAGAGAGGTGACGACTGCGGCGCTAAAACATCGCTTTTATACTTTATCGACTCGAACATAAAACAAGTATTTAAGAAAGTGGATCTGTGGCAGAATTTGTCAACAACAGCGGAAATAAACTGAGTGCAGCATCATGTCGCTCACAACTACAGAGAAGGGGAAGAAAAAGGGAGAAGGACAACGATCGTCCTAAACAAAGAGACTCCAAAGTTGACCAAGATGATCGAGAAGAGTCTCTCTAGCCGTGAAAATATCAGATGTTTAAAGGCTAAAGATGAAGACTGGGGTTCAGCATCTGCCTG